GAGACCCTTAACAACTGCACCACCCAGGCGGAAGCCGACATAACACTTATTAAAGCGAACACTACCCAGCACATTTACTACCTCAGTGATAAGGTACAATTTCTAGAAGATAGCCTGGAAGACTTGAACAACCGTTCTCACAGAAATAACATTAGGATAAGGGGCATGCCAGAATTGGTAGACACGGACGCCATATTGCCCACGCTACAGGACATATTCCGGTCCATGCTCCCAAACTCCTCAGACCAAGAGAGGGAGTTAGATAGGGCGCATAGGGCCCTGCGGCCCCTGTCCCTCAACCCATCAGTCCCATCATCGTCCGCCTGCTACACTTCGCTACTAAAGGAAAGCTTATGACAGCGGCCAGAACCACACAACCAAAACATGGGACCCACACGCCGGCGTTCTTCCAGGACCTGGCTCCATCCACACTGAGGAAACGCAGGGACCTAAAACCCCTTACCACAGCACTATCCCAAAAAGGACTGAGATACAGATGGGGCCATCCCTTTAAACTGCAAGTCCGCATGGGAGACCAAGAACACGTTCTATACCACCCGTCCGAAATGGAAGAATTTGCAGCAACCCTGGGGCTACAGCTTACCACTGGGGTTCCAGCAAAAGACCGACGCAACAACAACGAACCCAGAGAGACCCACAACACCGACCACGACCAACAAATACCCCGACAACAAGCTAAGAAAAGACCCCCCCAAAAAACCGGGACTGCCACCCAGGCGCTTACGACCTGAAACCGGCCCTCTTGGCCGCTGGACTCTCTCTCTGATAAGTGAGACTTACCGCGGAAAACTAAACAATAACTCAGGCCTGTATACCCTGAAATGCTCTAATATTTACATATGTTACTGTTATAATGTTAATTTGAAGGTTCACAAGCTGTTAACCCCATGCTGTAATTATCCCAAACTATAAGATAGGGCCCAAACCACCTACACCTCAGGGTACCCTCAACCTCTCCCACTATTAAAGTTTGCCACTGTGGTGGTGCAGGTCAGACCGGCACAGCAACTAAGCTCAGGCTAAGCACTATTCAATTAGAAGGTAAAGGTCCAATCCACCAACTTGGCAGACAGACCCTCCTCATGCACTGGCCCACGCAAGCCACTAGACTCCCACCATGAAAAATAACACAAACCGCTAGAAACTCAAAATGTCACAGGCTGTAATGCCCTGAACTATTAAGCTAGCCTAATATACTACGGAATTAGTGTTGTTTAGCACCCCGAATAGGGACCACCCTAAACGGGGAATCGGGGCCATGGGGGAGCCGGACATTAATGGGGGAATGAGAGGAGGAGAGGAGGGGAGGGAGGGGGGAGGGGAGAGGCAAGGGGGGGACATAATCTTGCTATAGCTAGGTCTAAACGTTTAATCCTAGTGTTACCATTGTGTTTCTTCTCTTCCCTCTCTCGTCCAAGACACCATGAAATGTCAACTGATCCTGAGGTGCCTTGGACAAAGTGCCTAATCTTAATGTCACTATTGTTTTTCTATAAAGAAAAAGAAAAAAAGAGAAAAAACACCACTTATGCGTACGTACCCCCCCCAACAACTAACCGACCTCCACATTTACTAATATCCAGGGGTATTATGGTTGACTGAATATCAAGACACAACACTGACACCAGGCTGATGGCCATCTGGCTCCTGCTAGCACTGGCTCCCCTAGACCCAGAAACAACCTATAAAAGGTAGCGACAATTACTAACATGCATACTCTCTTCACAGATATCCGAAAACCTTACCACCTCCTTGTCTCGGGCACTATCAAGAGCCCCCCCCCCAGGGACACCCAGCAGACAGTATATAGCGACCCGACAACACATGACAAAGAAGGTAACACACACACGGCTCGGAGAGGACAGGAGTTAAGGTCTATCTCCCCTCCAGACAGCTCCGACCTACCACACGCATCCTAACCACAGTAACCCCCACTACTGGAAGACCACACCTGCTCCCCACCACTGGGGCAACAGACCGCCCAAGAGGGAAAAGGAATAGGTCCGCACCTAACCGCAGGTACCTATACCCCCTCAACCTCCGCCCCCTCCAGGCCTGGCAACCTAGGTATAAGACCAGGGGAAAAACCCATACGGGAACCCTCCCCCTTTTTTTTACATCTAAGGCGAACCCTGACCCCCTACGCACTAAGGACTCAGCCAGCACAATGCAGGCAAGATAAGTAACCTAGCCCAACCTATACCCCCCCAGACCCAACCCCCCCCCCAATACCCCTCCTACACACAACGAGACACCCGGCCACTAAACACTACGGACACCCTCAGCGTAGACTCATTCAAAAACACAACCGGACATTATGAGCACCAAACTGACATGCATTTCCATTAACTGCAAAGGGCTTAACAATCCAGCAAAGAGACACCGACTAATGAGATGGGCAAACCGCTCACACGCAGACATAATCCTGTTGCAGGAAACCCACTTTACACTGACCAAACCCTTCCCTCTAATTAACCGACACTACCGGGAATGCCATATGGCAAACTCCCCCACAACTAAACAAAATGGAGTGGCTATCCTGATGCGGAAAACTTGCCCACTTCGCACTAAACAAGTTATAAAAGACCGGCAGGTTTATCACAATAACGGGACAGGCAGGACACAACCTATATGCCATCACCTCACTATACACCCCAAACACCCCAGACAAAACGTTCTGGGATACTTTCCAAGCCCACGTAGCCTTAACCCCAGGCCACCTTAAAATCATAGGCGGAGACTGCAACGCCACAATGTCACCATCAACAGACAGACACAGAACAAGAAAACTACCAAACCCCACAACCAAAATAGACAAACTACTACAAGACTTTGTGCTGCGACAGAGACTGGTAGACTTCTGGCGACTACTCCACCCGACTACCAGGGACTACACATTTTACTCCCATCCACACAACTCGTATTCCCGCATTGACCTCTTTCTGACTTCACCCTCCCTCACACACATGACCCAAACGGCCAACATAGGCAACATCACATGGTCAGACCACGCAGATATCACATTAATAATCAAGGTCCCTGACGTAGCCAGACCATGGTCCTGGAAACTTAACCCCACACTACTACACAACCCGCTGACGACAGAAGCAATACGAACAGAACTAACAAATTACTTCACACTAAACACGCCCTCGGCGTCCTCACCAGGCATACTGTGGGCAGCCCACAAGGCAGTCATACGAGGCAAAATAATAAGCCTAGCATCACACCAAAAAAAAAACTCAACTAGCCGAACTAGCGAAATCCCTCACAAACCTTAGGACCCTGGAAACAAGCCACAAACGAAACCCCACACAAGACATTCTCACGGAAATGACAGAATGCCGAAACAAAATTAAAGACTTCATGACTAAAGACGCGGCCAAAGCCATACAATGGACGAAACAGACTTACTACGAAAAATCCAAAAAAGCTGACACCTTACTAGCCCGAAAGTTACAACGCAGGACAGATCATAAACGAATAGACGTAATACAAACGTCAGACGGCACCAAACACTCCATACCGACAAAAATAGACGAGGTCTTCCAAAAATACTTTTCCACACTATACGACCATAGCCCCAACTTACGACAACATCCCGAAGAGACCAGACAATCAATAGACGCATACCTACGGCAGATACCCTTACCGGCTCTAAAGATGGAAACCATCTCCAAAATAAGCCAACCAATCACCATTGAAGAAATCGCCAAAGCCATAAAAAACACCAAACCCAACAAGAGCCCGGGACCGGATGGCTTTCATGGGACTCTATTACAAAACGTTCCCAGCCACACTCCTCCCACACCTCTGCAACCTTTTTAACTCAATCTTGCAGGGTAACCCCATACCTTCAGACATCTTGAGAGCGAACGTGTGCCTTCTCCCCAAGCCGAACAAAACCCACCTAGACCCGAGCCACTATTGACCGATCTCACTGTTGAACGTGGACATAAAGTTACTCACAAAATTACTCGCAGACAGAATAAACCCCCACGTACATAAACTTATACACCCAGACCAAGTCGTCTTTATACCTTCCAGACAGGCATACGACAACACCAGACGGACCTTTGACCTCCTTTGGGCGACCTCACACCGTCGGATCCCCACCCTTTTCCTATCCTTAGACGCCAAAAAGGCATTTGACCGACTGCTGTGGCCTTTTCTCTTTGCAACCCTAGACAAATTCCAGTTCCCCAACCCGATCCTAAACGCACTCAAAACCCTACACTCAACACCAGAGGCGAATCTCTTAATCCCAAATGCCCAACCCCCCGCATTCCGCATCTTTAACGGGACAAGACAGGGCTGCCCCCTCTCCCCACTCCTGTTTGCCCTATCATTGGAACCCCTACTTCAAACCCTACGTATGGACCCAACAATAGCGGGCATACACATCAGAAAGGAAGAATATAAAGTGGCGGGGTATGCGGATGACCTACTCCTCACCATTACAGACCCAACTAATTTGCTCCCGCCATTATTGCGAGCCATAAACGAATACTCACAGGTTTCAGGCTACTGCCTCAACCTAGACAAAACAGAAGCGTTACCAGTACAAATCCCTCAAGAGGACCTCAAAGCACTAAAAACTAACTACCCATTCCGCTTCAACCCCACGCACATACACTATTTAGGCGTCGACCTACCAGTAGACGTTTCCCAGACATACCGACTCAACTACTCCCCCCTACTACAAAGAGCGAAGGCCGACCTTAAACTATGGGAATCCCATTCCATCTCCTGGCTAGGAAGGGTGGCATGAATAAAGATGAACCTCTTACCAAGATTTTTATACCTATACCAAACGTTACCAGTCCAGGTAGTAGCCAAAGACTTTAAACTACTACAAACACAAATTGACCGCTTCATATGGGCCAACAGACGAGCCAGGATAAGGAGAGACACCCTCTATCTCCCGACGAGATCAGGGGGACTCGGCCTACCCCACTTCCTTCACTACTTTCACGCAGCACAACTAGCGCAGATTCAGGCACTCCATGCCCCCATAGGGTTAAAGAGATGGGCAGACCTCGAACACGACCTGTTCGGCCAGGACTTCCCTTCCCTCTATATCTGGGTACCAAAGCGAGCAAGACCACAACCCCCACAAACCACACCGGCACTTGACACCTCTATAACTCTCTGGAACAAACTCTCCATCAAACACGCACTCACGACAGACCCTTCACCCATGACACCAATCTTGAGAAACGAACACTTCACACCAGGCATGACCCCAAAAGACTTCGCACACTATGAAGACAATTACTTAATCAGGACGTACCACTTCTTCCAGAATCAAAAAATCATACCGTTTACGGACTTACCACAAGCCAGACCACTCAGCACACACGACTTCTTCCGCTACCTGCAAATCAAAAACCTGCTGGAAACTCCTACATATTAACGAGCCGGACTTAACCCCTCACCACCTTTGAACAAACATGTATCCATGCCACCATACAAAAAAGCCAGATCTCTACAATATACACACAACTGCTCAAAACGACAAAAACTCAACCGCTAGGGTATGTCTCAGCATGGGAACGAGACTTAGGACCCCCCACCAACCCCACAGACTGGACTGCAATCTGGGAAGCCACAGCAACGGTAACGATATGCAGAACCCACAAAGAACAGGCATACAAAACTCTTATGCGCTGGTATCTTACTCCGTTAAAACTCAAACAAATGGGACTTTCCACTTCGGATAGATGCTGGAAAGGGTGCGGCCAAAAGGGGACATACTACCACCTTTGGTGGGAATGCCCACATATCACACAAATTTGGACAGACATAGTGGCCCTGGCCTCATGAGTGTTCCACAGCCCCATCCCAAGGGATCCTTGGCTATGGCTACTATCCAAACCGCTAGAAAGCACACCACGGGCTCACAACAAATTACTTGCCAAACTAGCCTTAGCCACTAGAAGAGCCATAGCCACCCACTGGGGTTCACCCACAGTCCCGTCAATCACCGACATTAAGAAAAAAATGAATGAAGCTAGGTCGATGGATAGTATATCAGCACTCATTCATGACACCACAACACATTGTAAATATGGGACCTGTGGCTCATGGAACCCACCACGGCCACTTAAGAAACCAGGACCCCAAGAGAGTCAAGGCCGAGCTACACAAACCACAAACCAAACTAAAACTACCCTTCCCCTCCAAAACTCTAAACTGTGCCCAACCCCTCTAACCCAACATAAAGGAAGGACCGAACCGACAGTAGACCTATTAGACAGGTAACCAACCAAGAGAAAAGACACACACTCACACACAGCCCATAGGGACCACAATCACATTCATAAACACAACGATGAAAGAAGCGTGGAAATATGCATAACACCAAAAGGCCGCACACCACAAGGGTCAGGAACCCCTATGCACTCCCTCACACCCCCCACAACCCTATTGAAGACTCCAACAGATGGAGCCTCTCTACCACACTTCATCCTTAACATTATTTACAATTAAATTTAATCTCTCCCTAATTTTTTAACGCTGTTCCAAAGCCATCTACAGTTGCACTCAAACTTGTTTAGCGTTGCTCAATTGTATAAAAACATGACAGAACAGAAATGCAAAGAAAGAAACCAAAAAAGCACCACCAGACAACATCCCGTTCTCTATCAACTAAAGCTGTAAAATTATGTACTGAAGATATGTTTGAACTTTGGCTTCTGCGCAAGCCCACGCATGCATTATCTTTGCACGACACTCATGTGCTAGTCAACTCTGTCATTCGAAAATAAAGAATTACAAAAAAAAAAAAAGAGACGCACATATACATATAGCCCATGTGGACCATAATCAAGGAAGAAACATGGAAACATGCATGACACCAAAAGGCCACCCAACACAAAGGTCAGGGATGCCTGTTCACTCCCCCACCCCCTCCTACAACCCCATTGAAGACTCCAAAATACGGAGCCTCTCCACCACACTTCACCCTTAATTTTAATTATTTATTTTATTTTATTTATTTTTATTCTTTTCTTATTTTTCTAACCCTCAATTTCTGCTTCTTTTGATACTCCAAGGCTACCTACAGTAGCAATCAAACTTGTTTAGTTTTGTTTAATTGTATAATAATTTGACAGAACAGAACCACATAGGAAGAAACGAATGTTGCATCACCAGATAACAACCCTTTCTCTACAAACTTTTCTGTATAATGATGTTATAATGCAATGTTTGAAATTTGGCTTTTGCATAAGCCCATGCATTACCTTTGCCCAACACTCATGTGCTCGTCAATTCTGTCATTTGAAAAATAAAGAATTACAAAAAAAAAGAAAAAGTACCAATTACAAGTTGGAATGTTGACAAACATGTTTGCAGATTGGTGACAGCACAGTTAGTAAGTTTTGAGTTGCTGCAACGGGAAGAAAAGACAATTAATCAAACAAATGATTGACTCCGGGGACATTTTTAAGGTATCTGAGTATGTGTTAGGGGTTGAGGTTAAACCTGCCCAGCCTCACTCATGTCCTAAAAAAAGAATTAACTTGCCTCTAATTCAACATTAACCCCTTAAGCAGCCCTGGGGGCCTGGTGTGGACAATTATCATGGGCCTAAGTACAGAATCGTATTGACCAAAAACAATAAAACAGTCATACCTCTCAAGCGTCATGTATCTGATGGAGATGTTGCTGGAGGGAAAGGATGCAGCTATACGAAAACACATACTCTAAAAAGTGGGAGGCACATATACAAACTGTTGTAATTCCTACACCGTTCACCTGATTTGGATGTAAATACCCTCAAATTAAAGCTGAAAGTCTACAGTTAAACCACATCTTGTTCATTTCATTTCAAATCCATTGTGGTGGTGTATAGAGCCAAAAAGATTAGAATTGTGTCGATGTCCCAATATTTATGGACCTGACTGTACACATTGAAATTTGCCAGACTGGTTATGTTACCTTTGAGACCAAATGGTAGCCCAGGAATGAGAATTACCCCCATGATGGTGTACCATTTGCAAAAGTGGACAACCCAAGGTATTACAAATGGGATATGTCCAGTCTTTTCTAGTAGCCACTTAGTCACAAACACTGGCGAAAGGAAGTGTTTTTATTTATTTTTTTAAAATGTATTTATTGATTATTTTTATTTTATATATATATATATATATATATTGTGATAAAGTGAAGGCAGATAGGCCTTTTAACCCCAGGGGGAGTATGTGTAGTTTGTGTGTTGCACAACACAACGCATTGTTTAGTTATGGGCCCCTGGGGTGGAGCATTTGGAGAGAAGGGTGGGCCAATGCTCCACTCCACAGTTTAGTGGTGTTCTGGGGAGACCTAGATCCAGGCCAGGGTTTTTGGACTGTCTCCAACCCACTGCTCAGCTGCAGGTAATCAGCTGTTGCAGTGGGAATAAACTCCTCCCGGCTAGGCAGGAAAAGGAGAGGGATTGCTGGCTTCCTCCCAGGAAGCAGTCAGGGCAAGACTGGCTTGGAGCACTGGGAGTGCAGAAAGGAAAGCAGTCAGGGCAAGGCTGGCTTGGAGCACTGGGAGTGCAGAAAGCAAAGCAGTCAGGGCAAGGCTGGCTTGGAGCACTGGGAGTGCAGAAAGGAAAGCAACAGGTTAGATAGCAGAGCGTTGCTCTCTAATAAGGTTGGTGCAATATTGTGTTTAGTTTAACCCTGAGAGATAGGGAACTAATGTCAGTTAGTGCTCAGACGAGCTAGGTGTTTGTTTATAGGGTTTTCTGTTACTTTTGTTTTTCATTTACTGCTGTATCCTGTGTGGATTTACAAATAAAGTGCCTGAGTATATGCAATTACAAGGACTGTGCATGTTTTTACCCTAGAGGACCGTGCTACCTGGTGACAAGGATCACAATATGGTGGAGAATGCGGGCAAAGTAGCACAGTGAGGGTCTGTGGGTGTGCCAGTCATTCAGTAGTCTGCTTGAGGACTTTTATTTTTGCAGACCTGTTTAAAAAATAAGTAGCACTGCACCTTTAAGACTGTTACCTGCTTGGTGCTATAATGGAGGACCTGCTGAGAGCTGTGGTACAGGCAACGGCTAAACAACAAGGCACAAACAGTTTCCTGGCTGCACAGGTTAAGAACCTGAGGGACGCTCAGCAGGAGCATAGAGCTGCCCTTACTGAGGTTTTGCAGATTGCCCCCTGCAGGGAGCGTGGGTACAAGGGACCCTGTAACCAAGCTACTGACATCCTGCATGGGATGACAGAGGCAGTAGAAGAAGTCTTCAGCAAGCTGAAAAGCATGGAGGCAGCAAAGCGTGCTGTTGAGAAACACGCAGGAGAGAAAGAACAGGAATTAAAAGGCAAGAAGGATGAAATTGAGCCTGAAAGAAGTGATAAAATGGAAGAGGGTGAAAAGCCAGCTGGATCCTCAAAGGAACAAAAAGAAAAAAAGTTAGTAAAGAGTCCAGCAAAGCTGAAGGAAAAAGCGGAATTGCCAAGAGGCAGTGATGGCGACACTGATGACATGCGCCAAAGTAAGAAAGGTCAGAAGAATCAGAAAGGAGAAAAAAAGACTGTGGCTGAGGCCCGCAGTGTCAAGCCGGTTTGTGTAATAAAAAGTGAAGCAGAAGCCGCTGATGTTCACCCAAGTGAACAAGTTAAAGTCATGAAAAGCAGACTGACTTGGGGAGTCAGAGAAGACAACAGCAAAGGAGCTGAGCAAAATGAAGAGAAGCAAAGCACTCCAGTTGAGTATAACAATGTGGTGCGCTGTTTAGTAGCAGAGACACCTGGTATTGTTACAAAGAATTTGAATGATTGTCCGGGAGCCGTAGAACTAGATCTGCTGGCAAAGACTACTGCTACAAAGCCTGGGCGCACTGACTACCGGGAACAGCTGCCAGATTCTGGGAACACAGTCATGGAATTAAAGGCGGGACTCGGACTGCCTGACCAGCTGTTTGATACCAGGGCTGTAATGACCCAGCGAGAGGCCATGACTGCGTCTCTGGACAACCCCATAGGGAGCAAGGCAGGTTCCCAGGGATTCGCAGAACAGATGGAGGATGTTGTGGAGCCCTTCGCGGAGGGACTTGTTCCAGTGAAGGATGAGCTGGTGACAGAACCAGGTCTTGAAGAGGTTGAGCAACTGGAAAATTCAGCTCATGAAGGAATTGGACGTATAGCTACACGCCAAGCCTTTGCAAAGTTTGCTTTTGAAAGTTACTCTAACGTTGAGAGATTATCAAATCAGAAGCTGCTATGGATGTGGAAGCAGATGATGATTCAGAGGAACTTGGCTACTAAGGAGCCACACAGTACTGATCCTCAGCCTAGATCCGCTAGCAACCAGATAAGCGGGGAAACTGGAAAACAAGGACAAAGTCTGGGACAATATACCTATGATGGTAGAACGTACCTAAAAGTCCTATTTTGGCTACGAGACCAGACT